CTCTAATTAAAGCAACCCTCCCCGCCCCCCAAATTCTGAAGCATGTGTAGAAATGCTCAGTGCTTAAAGAGGGGCTGGAAGGGAGAAGGGGCTGCTTGCAGACAAGAGCCTGTACTGAAATAAGTTGGGGGGAGGAGTGACTGGAAGGGAAGAGCTTGCACTTGTTTCTTCAAGCTTATCTGGCTTATCTCCTCTCTCCTAGTGGTATCCCTCAAATGCTATCATTGCACCCCAGGGTGCCATGGTTGAGAATCACTGGGTTAAGCAGTAAGGATCTGGGGGATATGGTGGGTCATAGACTCAAGCCGAGTCATCAGTGTGATGCAGTTGCAAAAAACAAGAAATATAATTTTGAGCTGTATTAACAGAAGCGTTGCATGTAAGACACAGAAGGTGATATTACTATTCTACTTGGCATTGGTTAGACCTCAGCTGGAGTGCTGTATGCATTTTTGGAAGAATGTGGAGAAACTGGAGAGGATCCAGAGGCACACAATGGTGATGATAAAGGGGTTGGAATGAGGGCTGCTTGAGGAATGGTGGAAGAGAACTAGGTCTGTTTAGTTTGGGGGAAAGGAGATTGAGAGGGACATGAGAGTAGTTTTCAAAGGGAGAAGAGATTGATGTCATATATCTTGACTTCAAAAAAGCCTTCGATCTGGTTTCCCATGATCGTCTCTTGGAGAAACTGGCCAATTGTCGCCTTGGGTCCTCCACGATCCGCTGGCTGGAAAATTGGCTCCGGGGTCGGACCCAGAGGGTAGCAATCGATGAAAGTCACTCATCGTGGTGTCCTGTGACCAGTGGGGTCCCCCAGGGCTCTGTCCTTGGACCCATACTGTTCAACATCTTCATTAATGATGTGGACACTGGAGTCAGAAGCGGACTGGCCAAGTTCGCCGATGACACCAAACTTTGGGGCAAAGCATCCACACCAGAAGACAGGCAGGTGATCCAGGCTGACCTGGACAGGCTCAGCAAGTGGGCGGACGAGAATCTGATGGTGTTCAATGCCGATAAATGCAAGGTTCTCCACCTTGGGAAAACCCCCCCGCAGCATCCTTATAGGCTCAGCAGTGCTATGTTGGCTAGCACTATGGAAGAAAGAGACTTGGGGGTCATCATTGACCACAAGATGAACATGAGCCTGCAATGCGATGCGGCGGCTAGTAAAGCGACCAAAACGCTGGCTTGCATCCATAGATGCTTCTCAAGCAAATCCCGGGACGTCATTCTCCCCCTGTACTCGGCCTTAGTGAGGCCGCAGCTGGAGTACTGTGTCCAGTTTTGGGCTCCACAATTCAAAAAGGATGTGGAGAAGCTTGAGAGAGTCCAGATGGCCACCTATAAGTTTATCAGGGGTGACCACCAGCATCTGGGGGAACGTTTGTTCATCAGAGCGCCCCAAGGGATGACGAGGTCGAACGGTCACAAACTACTTCAAGATCGTTTCAGGCTGGACATAAGGAAGAACTTCTTTACTGTCCGAGCCCCCAAGGTCTGGAACAGCCTGCCACCGGAGGTGGTTCAAGCGCCTTCATTGAACACCTTCAAGATGAAACTGGATGCTTATCTTGCTGGGATCCTATGACCCCAGCTGACTTCCTGCCCTTTGGGTGGGGGGCTGGACTCGATGATCTTCCGAGGTCCCTTCCAGCCCTGATGTCTATGAAATCTATGAAATCTATGAAATATTGGACAGGCTTCCCCAAAAGAGGAGAACAACTGTTCTCTCTCTCTGTAGAGAACAGGGCACAAGACAATGGGTTTAAACTCCAGCAAAGCCAATTTGGATCCAATCTCAGAAAAAAAATCCTTAATATAAGAATAGTAGCTCAACTGTTAACAACAACAACAATGAAATTCTGCAATGCATGCTACACCAGAACCCTGAAATCCACACCAGTTCAATGGTTACTGGTGCTGGCCAATATTGCTCCTCCAAACATTCGCTGCAATAAAGCTACATATAGAGAGGTCATCTGCATGAATGACAATCGAGACCTACCCATCCATAGAGATTTAAAGAACCTCCCAGCTCACCGCATGGTCTCCTGAAAACCTTGGTGGACATGTGTACTAGCCCTTGCAGGACATAATGGTGAAGCAGCTTGTAGGAAAGTGTGGAATTAAACCACCATTTGGAATAAACATCTGATTTCCGACCCAACAATAAAGCTGCCTGGTTTTGACCTTCCTCAAAAAACACGGAAGTTTCCAAATCAGACCTGAAGTGGGCATGGCCACTGCGGTCACTTGATGCACAGATGGTGTAGAAGGAGTTTTACAGAACGTGACTGTGGCAACCCTGATCAAACTATGAACCACAAAGCAACACTCTGCCCCGTATGCAAATGTGGTGGTGACATTGCAGAGATAAATTTCCTTTCCGCAAGAGCATTAGACTAGTTAACAAACTGAAACTGGACTTATAATTGTTGCTCCAAGTCAGCCATATGGAAGCAGAGGAAGTAGGACAACAAGACAAGCTGTCCGTGGAAATTCTGAATGTCCTTCACTGGAGTGTGTCAAGATACTGGGTAAGCATCTGTCTGAGAAGATTTAGAAACAGCTCATCTCGCATTGGATGTTAGATCCCTTCCAATCCTATTATGCTACTGTTCTAAACTTGTTTGGGGAAGAAGGAACTTCAGGTGTGAAGTAACTTTTCATTTCAAGTCTATTTGAGGTTCTTGTGTTTTCAATTTGCTCATGAGAACCTTGATAAAAGTGTTCATATGGGATTAAGTTAGATATAATTAGTTCATAGGGTCCCCCTTAAACAGAAAAAAAATGACCCTTGGAGAACACCATAATTAATGGGGACTAAATCCTGCCATGATAAAACACTCACTGATTTCAATGGAGGCAGATTTTCATGTGATTAGTACTGCTTAGTGTCTACAAGTCTTTTCATACTACTTGGCCTTTCTTCTGAACATCCAAACAAGGCTAATAAATTACTCCTAGTTTAAATAGTTTAGACCAGTGGTTCTCAACCTTTGTAGTACCAGGACCCATTTGTAAATATTGATGGCCAGTCCTGACCCACAGCCCCCTGGTCCTGCTGGTGCCCCTCACTCCCCACCCATAGCACCTTGGACCTGCCAGTGCCCCTCACTCAGGACCACCATCCCCCTGGCCCTGCCAGTGCCCCTCACCCCCTGACCCCCAGTCCCCTGCCCTTGCTGGTACGCCTCGTTACCAAGCCACAGACCCCTGGCCCTGCTGGTGCCCTCACTCCCAACCCACAGTCCCCTACCTCCCTGCGGCATGGTGGTGCCCCTCTCTTGCAACCCACAGCTCTTTGCCCCCATCTGCTAGGGCTGGAGTGTGGTTACTGCAGTGTCTGCGGCTCATGCAGGTGGCCATGGAGTGAGTCCAGCCCTGGCATGGGCTGGAGGGAGGAGGAAGAGAGGTCTGTGGCACCCCCTATCTCAGTTGGTACTCCCACATTGCGCTAGGAAGACTGGTTATTGCTCCCCGCCCAGCAGTGTCTCTCACCACCCCGCCCCTGTGAGTATCCCCCTAGACAGTTCCCAAGCCATGGATCTCCAACCTTCACCCCCCATACACTTACCTGCATCCAGCTACTGGGGCTGCTCCCACAACCCTGCCTGGCTGCATGCCAGCCACATGTGTATGCAAGTAAAACCAGATGCCTCCAATAGCCCCAAGCAGCTCCTTTCAGGCTGGAATGCTGCCAGCCTGCAAGCAGAAACCCACGCTTCCCCAAATTTTTCTGGGACTTGCTCACGACCCTTTCAAATATTCCTGAGACTCACTTTTGGGTTGTAATGTATGGGTTGAGAAACACTGGTTTAGACACCTCTACAGTAGTAAGAATACCACTCCTTTTCAAACAGGTCCTTGCTCAATCTGTACTTCTAGCTAATTTTCAAAGGTGGCCATGCTATTTGAAGGAGCACAATACAAAGTTTTAATTTCCTTCTGAACTTTAGAGTCCATGGAGAAGTCTGAAAATGGGATGCACTACAATTAGCAAAAAATACCTTGCAGAGAGATTTAGAGCCCAATCATAATTTACATTTGCAGATATGTAGATCTCTAAGTGCATGGCTTCTGCCCTGATTACTAATTAATGAGGTGCAAAGAAGCCTGTTGGAAGGAACCAGCTCTGATTATGTAGGCCTTGTGGGAAAAAGAAGCTTTTGCAATCTAAGAAGGTAAGAAGATAGCTTTAACATATATTTTAGAAAATTATAGAATGAACCAAGTGGCATAAGAGATATAAACACACACAGAGTAATGCAGGA